GGAAAACCTTTACGCTAGATTTAGCGGCAAACAATTTTCCTCTAAATTTAGTGGGAAAAATTTTACACTAGTATTAGCGGGGAAAATTTTCCGCAAGACTTAGCGGGGTAAATTTTCCGCTAAATCTAGCTGGTAAATTGTTCCGCTAGATTTAGCGGGGAAAATATTCCGCTACATTTAGCGGGAAAAATTTTCCACTAGGTTAAGCGGGGAGACTTTTCCGCTAGATGGCGGGAAACATTTTCCACTAAATCTAGCTGGGAAATTTTTCCGCTAAATTTAGCGGGAAAATTTTCCGCCAGATTTAGCGGGAAAACTTTTCCACTAGATTTAGCGGGGAAGCTTTTCCGCTAGACATTGCGGGGCAAATTTTTCGCTAAATCTAGCTGGGAACATTTTCTGCTAGATTTAGCGAGAAAAAATTTTCCGCTCAATTTAGTGGGAAAAATTTTACACTAAATTTAGCGGGGAAAATTTTCCGCAAAACTTAGCGGGGAAAATTTTCCGCTAAATCTAGCTGGTAAATTGTTCCGCTAGATTTAGCGGGGAAATTTTTCCACTAGATTTAGCGGGGAAACTTTTCCGATAGGTCTTGCGGGGCAAAGTTTTCGCTAAATCTAGCTCTGAAAACTTTCCGCTAGTTTTAGCGGGGAAAAAATTTTCCGCTAAATTAAGCACGAAGAATTTTACACTAGATTTAGCGTGGAAAATTTTCTGCTAGACTTAGCGGAAAATTTTTCCACTAGACTCTGCGGGGCAAATATTTCGTTAAATCTAGCTGGGAAAACATTTCTATAGATTTAGCAGGGAAAGTTTTCCGCTAGATTTAGCGGGGATATTTTTCCGCTAAATTTAGCGGGGAAATTTACCCATCATTCACCGCGTGGTTACGCCGACGGCGACGCCGCTTAAGCCGGAGACGGGTGCCTAAGAGCTGCGCTCTAAAAAGAGTAAACCAACATATCAGTTAAGCCTCGTCAATAGTGGGACTAGTAACTCAAAGTAATCACATTAGTGATCAAATTCTCAATTGCCCCCCCAAAATTCTAATTGTATAAGCAATTGTTCTAAGTTACCAAATGTGTAAGCGAAACACGACCACTGAACACAATAAGTGCATATATATATATTCTGGATTAAATTGACTGACCCCGGGATTAAATTGTGTGGCGCTTGGATTAAATTGTATGGCGCTTGGATTAAATTGACTGACCCCGGGATTAAATTGGTCGTCGCTTGGATTAAAATGAGCGGGAAAACCTGTAGAAGCTCGGCATTCAGCGTCAGCTTTCTGGCTTCCGCAATGTTTTGGTCACGCATGCCTGCGCATTGACACTTGCGTCAGCAAGGGCAGAAAGCTCGCGCTGAAGGCGGAGGTTTTAGTCTCAGCTTAAAGGGGCCCTGCAATCATATTTAAGCGTCTGCATTTTTTTCGGGTTCCACGTCTCTTGGGGTTCGGGCAAGCCAGCGAGCACGGAGAGAGTAACTAAATATCAGTGAGTCATATTTTATCCGGACGACGCGGAAACCTCCTCCACCTACGAGGGCGACCCGCGTAGCCGAAAGCGCGCAGTATGTGACATCTTTGGTCCTGGGCTTACTAGGTCAAAGCCGCTAAAAGCTTTTTTTTTTTTTTTTGTCGAGGAACTCCTCGACAAAAAAAAAAAAAAAAAGCTTTTAGCTTTTTTTTTTTGTCGAGGAGTCGACAAACTCTACTTTGTCGAGATACAAAATATAAGGGTCGCGAACCGTTTCAATTATGCATGAAAGTAGTTTTTGTACAGTATTTAGATCAGAAAAGAAACAAATACAGTTTATAAAGTACGGAAACAAGAAAAGACCCGTCGACAAACCCGTCATCAAGCTGCGGAAAAAACGGCGCATACTAGAAAGGGGGCTAGTGGGATGAGGCTCTGACGAACGGCGAGCGTAAAAAGGTCCCGGATGTACGCGGCGGCGCTGCGGTCGTGTACCGGCTCGAGGATCCGACCGGTTCTGAGCGTTCCGAAGGCTTTCGGAGCGGGCTTGGCTGGCGATTTGGCCCTTTGGCGGTATGGCAGCGCGAAGTGGCTCCCGTTCTGAACTGATCTTTACCCCGTGTTTGCTGCCGTTTGTGGCCAATTAAGTGTTATGCCGAATTAGTCTTTAATCGCGCAGCAAATGCGATGCGAGCCGCCCTGGCCGCCTGCTTCATACAGCCTATCCAACACGTGCTTTAGTGGCACCTTCTCGAGCCACCGACCCGGAGTGCGGCAGCCGTGAGCGCTCGATGAGCTCACTACTCCTCCTCTAGTTGATGGCCACTCAAGCCAGGACCTACGACATCATGAAGGAGGTTATTTTTTGCTTGTTTTTGTAATTCTAGTTTGCCTATAACTTTTAAAATAAAACGAAATTTGAGACAAGAAAAGTTTCTTTAAGTTACTACGTTAAGTGCGCTCAGGTTCGGTGCGAATTAGAAACCAGTCAAAATGTTGTTGCAGTGCCTCTTTAAGGGTGAACGGAGTTTATATTGCACCCACGCCCATACTTGATCCGCGCTCGTTTTCTTAAGGCATCTCCAGTGAGGCATGATAGTACCTTCTCTCTTCGGAAATGCCACAGAAGGTTGTTCACGAGTATGGACTCTGGTCATAGCTGACTGTTCAGTCAAAGATGAAGCCACCGACTAATTCGTTTGGAAACTACCGCGGAGTCTGCATGCTATGCCCTACTCCGCGCAGTGCTGGAAATGCGACATTCATGTAACGTACCGCCAGATCCTCGGCAACGAAGGGTGAACGTTAATTCTGAGCATGAATTCTTTGAATCACTCGCAAAACATTAAAAGACATTTGCACTCTGTAACGCGAAATTAGAGCGCAGCTCTTGAGGTATTTTGATTTTGCGACATACGGAGGCGGCGATAGGCCAAAGCCGCGTTTCATGAAGCTATGGCCTGTGACGTCCCATAATGCAACGCGCGCAGTGTTGCATTAGGTGACGTCACAGACCGACACACCAATTCTATTTCTTCGCAAAAATTAGCGGGGAAGGTAAATCGGTGTGTAAGTATGTGACGTGCCATAATGCATCACTGTGCGCGTTGCATTCTGAGACTCTTGTGTACATTTGCGGAAAAAGGTGCTCTTGGGGCTTTTCCCTTCCCCTTATTCGTTCGCTTTTTCTTTCTATTTGTCCAAGTTTTGTAAAATAAAATTTCAGCTGTGTTTGAAACCTCTGCGTGTGTGTGTCGTGACCTGCAGTGTCGCTTTTTTTTTTAATCATGTAGCTTTATATTCGATGGTTTTATTGCCGTGTTTTATTATTTTGTTCTCATCCTTCAGGGTTCTTGTTCGTCTGATAATTGTTCTATCATATCCCATTTGGGTTTTTCACCGAGCCCCTTAAAGTAATCTTTTCAACCCGTTACAGGGGTTCAGAATAGTACAGACATTCAGCCCGTGCGTCGGGTAATGTTATACTTGCTAGTTTAATAATTTCAACAATCGGATTGTTTTTTGCTATGGCTGAATTTTAAGCTTGTTCTGCAAATTATTTAGCAGTTGAATACCAGCGGAAAGAACATGCTGTGGAAGTCTCTTTGATACCAGAGACAGGTAATTTGACCTTTTTAGCAGGCTGTCAAGCGAACTCTAACCCGAGCCAGAAACCGGACCAAAACCGTTATTTTGCCCGAGCGGAACAAAAAACGAAAACCAATGAACCTGAACCAAAAACGAACAGCCATCTTGTGTGGTTGTTTTCGGTTGATTGGAAAACGGTTTGGCGAAACTGAAAGCCCGAGTCAGTGTTTATAATCTTTCTGCTCATCAAATGCATATTCGGAGAGCAAGTCGTCTGCTTCTTGCGCTGAAGTTGCGGTCACGTCAGAACGACGCCGAACTCTTATTGGCCGATTAAAAAAAAAAAGATGGCGGGTAGATTTCAAGGCATGTAGCATTGAACTCTACCCACTATTCTTTCAAACAAGGTCAATCAGTGCTCGGCGTCACTCTGATGTCACAGTAACCCCTGCGCAAGAAACAGACGACTTGCTCTCCGCATAGCGCTGGGCCACCGTGCTATATAACGCGCACTACAGCGATACCTGATAGCGGAGCGGACCGCATCAAATAGCTGAGCGGGTCGCAGCGGATAGCAGTCCGGGCAGCATAGGATAGCGGAGCAGGCTACATATGGATGGAGGACGGGGCCGTAGAGGGTAGTGGTGCGGACCGCATGGGCATCGCATATCCGAGTGGGTCACGGATCAGGTAGCGGAACGGGCAGCATAGTTTAGTGGAGCGGACTGCATCGCATAGCTGAACGGGGAATCCCGGAGAGAAGCTCACCCGAGAAAAGCTCACCGATTTCTTTTTCTTCTTTTCATATGGAGATTTTTGGATTCTGCTTAACATATATCAATTTATTATTAATAAAATTCGTCAGCTTTGTAAAAGAAGAAAATGTCCTTTTTAGTAATATTTGTGAAGCTTATTGCGTATATTGCTCCCAAATTGATAATTGCGAGCGAGTGTTTTCTGCAGTTTACTCTAGGCAACGGAAGCCTAACTGAGAACTTTATGAACTTGAAGAACAGGAAAAAGATCGAAAACTTAATATAATCTGCCTAAAACCCAAAAAGCAAAACTGTAAATGCCAAAAATCCGAAAGTGCATACGCAACAACGCGGTGCCTGAAATTATCTTTGAAGCTTTTGTTAACCTCTAAATACAGGATAGAACGGTCGCAGGATATTGAGGTTTCTCTTTTCCACGGACAAGCTCGCTTTCTAGCCATTGGTGCTGGTGTTTCCACGCGTTGCTTCTGTGGGATAGCGCCATTCTACGGCGAGCCACCTTCAGGGCTGCACTCTGACACCGTTGTTACTAGGAGTGTTTTTTTTTTTGTTTTTTTTTTTGATTATTTAGGGAAAGTTGAACGACTCAATATCAGAATTGCTTCAGATGCGTCGTTCTGCCTCCCCGGCGGTGACGTTTCCTTTTATCGTGTCGCAGAAATGGCGAAGAGTGGTCCCGGCTCCGGCACACCTTCCAGAAGCCCCTGATGCAGCAGAATTCCATGGCAGTGTACATGCCCGTTCTACAGGATGTCACGTGGGACGTGGCTAACCTTATTCGCAAAACGCGGCACAGAACGAGCCTCGAAATGCGAGACTTTCTGACTGAGTTGTACAGGTGGGCGCTGGAGTGTAAGTGTCCTCGTTTCATTCCTCGAGCGAGATGAAGCAAGAATTTCTTTTTATTAACCTTAGCGGTTTGATTTCACAGTCGTTTTAATTTTAATTTAAAATTAATCACCGTGTTTTGGTATCACGTCAACTAAATAAAAGATATATATATATTCGGGTGCCCCTCAGAACATGATTTTGACATTCAAAATATGTGTTTTGTAGATAAAGCTCGCATGACATATGTATATAGAAGTTATTCAAAAGCTAAGTTAACGAGAACTCTCACAGGTGCCTTATCTCTCCTCTTGTTCGAAGTTCTCGCTAGGATCGCAGCAGCAGACAGCAGCTTTCTCACACAGCCGTTAGATGGCACATTGCGGCAGACCCTCGCAATTTCAGTTGTAGTACAGCTACGCTCACGGAAACATAACCAAATGTGGAAGTGCGTCGAGTTATCAGGAATTTTTTTATCTAAGTGGCGCCTCACCAGTCAAATTTTATCGTCAACTTGTTCAGGTGTACGGTGCTAATGTCATAAAATGGAAACGTGACAAATAAAAACATGAAACTCGAAATGAAAAACGACAACGCCCGACCACATGTAGCCAACAGCATGCGTGAATTGTTATGTTGCTTCCGGGGTGGAGGTACTGGAGCATACTCTCTACAGCCCCGACTTGGAATCCACTGATATTTATCTCTTCAGATTGTTGAAGAAGCAACTGACCGGTAGGCGACTCACAAGCGATGCGGAAGTTTAGCAAGCCGTCCTTACGAGGCTTCACTTGGACTTAGCATAGACTTTTATGCCGGCATATCCTTGGTGTGCCGTTGGAACAAGCATTAGGAGAAGCATGGTGAATATGTAGGAAAGTAATGTGTACCAGTGACGTACTAGAGTGTATCAGCATATCTGCCCTTGAAATAAAGTATGTTCTCGAGAGCTCTTGTTACCTGACATTTGGAATAACCCTACAACCATGCATATACAGCACAAGCTGGAAACCCAGCTGATGTGCATAAAGTTAGCAGGCACCTCATGGATTGGTAGCTGCACGACCAGTAATAACTATTGCCTGTATTCAATATCTTTATTCTTGTTATTCGGCTTCATCGAATGCATCTGCTGAAACAAAAAAAAAAGTCACCTTCATAGCAGAGTTGCGAGTCTTTGCGCACTTGCAGCCGTGCGGAGCAGTGAGACAAAAATAATTTATTTTTACCAGTCATCACGAGATGAATTGTCATCATTCATGATTCATTGCACGAATTCCACCAATCTGGCAACATGATCCTGTGGCGCTGTTGGTGGTGCCAGATTAAAATTCCTCGATTAAAGGGACCCTGCATGCTTCTTACAAGTCCCGATACTTTTTGAAGAGCGCACTGTGTCACGGTACGGTTTGAAATGTACTTCCACATTTGTGTTGCTTGTGTTTACTTATAAATATATCATCAAGAAATTTTATGCCAGGTACGGGAGTGCTGGCCCTCAACACTCGCCTGGGGTGCCTGGAGGGCAAGCTGTCCCTGGACTCTGAGCAGCAGCGGCTCGTTGAGGCTGCCTCCGAGACGCATCGCATCATAATGCTGACCGAGAACGGCCTGCCTTTCTGGAAGTTCTGGGACACTCCGGCCTACAAGAGACTTGTCAAATCGCAGGATTTCATGGCCGGGTAAGTCGACGGCTCTCACCCGACTTCCCGGCTTATATGCGGGAATGAAACATACTCCATTCAACCCTAAGCTGACAGTGCGATGGAAGCTACGTTCTCAGTGGTCAATTTACGGTCCAAAGAGGACGCAATTTGGTAAGACAGAAAACTGCAACTCTTTTAGACATGACTGGAGCTGGTTTTTTCATGTTTTCTCATGTAAATTTGCGTGCTGCTTGGCTATTCTATTTGACATTACCCGAAAGCAAAACTAAAAGCGGCTCAGTTGCATTTCAACCAAATAAGATATAACTCCTGCACGGCGGTATTTTCTTAGTGTTGTGATCTGATTGTATAGGTTTGTTTTTTCAAGCTTTCACATATATTTGATAGTGGACATCGTTATGTATTCCTCTACACTGTTTGCAAAACAGATATTTGTATATTTAGTTGCGCAAATATAAGAGTTCTATTTTTCTCATTGAATATTTTAGTACTTGTCTATTGGGCGCAGGATATAGTAAAGCATTCCGTTGACCCACTGTCTTGTATGCGTTCCTTTGTTCTTTTTGTCAGCGCAGAATAGTAAACAAGTACCTAGGCCAGGCGAAGGAGAAAGTTCGCACAGACATTCCGGAAGAAAAAAAGACTGTCTTGGAAAAGTTCCTGTCAAATCCGGAAACCGACATCAAGGGTGTCTTCACCATGATTCTGGACATGTTCCTCGCCGGTATAGACACGGTGAGTTCATTTAGCAGTCCTATATATAATAATTGATGAACGCTTATATCCTTCTTCAGTCATTGATGAAGGCCTACAAAACAACATAAAACTAAAAACACGAAATAATAAAAAGAAAAACATATGAGTTTACCATTTTGGATACAAAGGTTGATTTTTCGAAGTTGGGTTTCTTTCTTTGCCCACGTTATCCGTGCGAAGTAAACAAGCTTACATCTTTTGTGCTGCATTGGAATGTCATTTTGTTGTTTTGAAGGCCCTTCCAGTGAAATCCTTCTGCCATAAGTGACGTTTTCGTGTTGAATGAGCCTGCACGTGTAGGCAAAGTACTTCGAGACACAGTAAGCTAGTACTCCGACTGGGTCATCGAAATTCTGCTTCCTCACGTTGAAATGCCATAGGGGTTACTAAGAGCCAGGTTTTTGCGGCAACTGAAAACTAGCGAAGAGTGCTCCTGTGTTGTGCATGGTGTCCCATAAAAAAATTACAGTTTCTCTTCTCAATCGCAAATGTAGCACTAGCAGTCCGGACCAGATATCAATGTTTCAAAACGAACCGTTATTTTATTTGAAAGTTATCAGAACTTTTTCAGAAATTTTCGATGGGTAAATCCTCGCTGACCAAGCCCAGCAATACATGGGGCTGAATTGCGTAAACTACCGGAAATGGGTCCCATTTTCATATTGAACATTTATGAAAAACAAAAACACTTATAACTTTGAAATAAGATCACGGTCAATCCTAAAGTTTTTGTATCTGCTCCAGACCGTTCACGTTTGCAAGCGGTCCGTGCATTTCGGCGGAAACAAAGTGCTTTTGCGGTGAAATATAATCACTGCATTTTTATTTTCGGGGGCACGATGTATTTGCTTGGCGCTTAAAAGGATACTTCAACGAAATTTGAAATATACCCGTCGTGTTCAAAAATAAATTGAATATGATCCACAATATCCGGAAATGACAATCGCACGTCTTTATCTTGAGCCTGGTGGCAGTATTTTTCGTCATAAATGGCCCACTCTGGCAAGCGCTCGGAGATGAGCCAGCGGAGAGCATTTGACATCCAACGCAATCGTGACGGAGTTGGTCTCGGGGAGAACAAAGCTACGGCGAGGCTGACGCCGAGAGGATGGCCTAGTCGTTCCAGCCACCGAAGCGGCTGCTTTTGTACGAATTTTGAGCGACGGGTTCATCTTCACTAATCTTGTAAGGGGACAATAGCGACTTCTGGGTCACACAAAAGGGATTCTCGGGAAGAGTGGAGTTCCTGCTTCGCCTCTTCTCTCTTCGTGGCTCGAGGCGAGACAGTTGCCGTCACTACCTCTCAAGGTCCCTAGACCGGCATTACAAAAGAGGCGTTATCGACATCCACCAGGTGCTCGTTGTTAATCGTTTAAGTTGTTTCGAAATTGCTTTTCGTGACTTCTTTAACAATATATTGTTGTGTTCTATGTGATACTGCTTTTTTGAACACATATAGACCAAAAAAATGAGCGCCAGAATTTCGTTGTAGTCTTCCTTTAAAGTTACGGCTGGAACACGATCTGTGGCTACAAGCGCTTTTCACAAGACTTCAAAACGATGGTTAATAATTAAATAATTAATTAATAAGGTATTTGTTGTTCTTTTTGTTTTTACGGTCAGAGCCCTGAGGCATTACAACAACAAAACAAAAAGAGGAAGGGAGGCGGTTATAACGGAAAAAAGTAAACAAACAAGAAAATCATGAAGCACCTCCTTGTATTTTGTTTACAGCATTTCTAAAATAAACATGATTCAGAGTTTAGGCAATAGATGTGGAAAGGTGATCCCCATCAATAGACATAAGAGGTCTGAATATTTTACAGTATTCATTATGGGACAACTTGGGGTTCTTAAGGTCTAAACGGACAGAGGGCAACAAAGAGATGTGCGGTGAACGCCGGCAATCTACAATTTCAAAAATCAGCTTTTTAAGATTGGAATGAACAAAAATAGAATAAAAATAATCTATTTTTTTAAATGCACAAAAATTTACATTAACTTTAAAGTTTGATGACTTTTTAGAAGTGCGTGCTCTCACTTCGTGAGCGATCGTTTGGTTGAATAGTGCTTTCGACGGATGCGTTTGCGATATCGTAGGCAACGTGCAAGTGCTATTTATGGCAAACGTTAGACGTGCTGCCAAGTTCGGAAAGAAAAAAATACGCTCAAGAAACGCGTGCAAAAGAAGCTCTGATGCCATAAAATGTTGTTCAAAACATAAGGTGCACACGAAAGGTCGGTAAGTTTTCAATTACATGCGCGTATACCGACACGAGCAAGGACACGGAAGCTGCCAGCATTTCCATCTTTCGTTCGTGAGGTAAAAAGGCTCAAGCTATCTGTAAACTAAATTATCATCTCTCAAATACAGCAAATTTGATGAAGTAACATTGTATGTGACAGATGAGGCCAACTTCAACCATACGGAAGTGCGGCTCCGGAGTTTTGTGCGAGCATTTTTGACATTCATCGTTAAAACATGCCGTGCTTTTGAACTATTTTAAAATTATTTTAAAATTATCTCGAAAAGCAATGATTTCGGAACTTCAAGAGTATGTGTTACAAGAGTATTGGTTGTAAAGCGTCGGTTCTCACGAAGTCTTTCATTCGCTTCCTCCACCAAATCGTCATTTACCGCGCCCACTGCTCCGCACTGCATCACAAACCCTCTGGTGTCGTTCATTATACATTCCACACCATCTTTGCACAATTCCCTTGCGCTTTGTATTTAGTCCACGAATTTCACAAATTTATTTGTATTTTTATGTTCTGTAAGATATGATATTTGTTGCACTCGAAAATCTGATCACGGCCAAGGCTTCGCAGGCGGCGGTCCGTACCATCGACTTATACGCAGAAATATTGAATAGTAGAAGTTCATAGACAAGCATTTACTGTTAGAGAAAGTTCTGTTTGCGAAATTCTGCTTGTCCTTTGTCTGTTTTCACACTTTTTTTAGGTTCTAGACGCAATAGCAACTCGCGCTCATTGCAACAATACTCCAGCAGGGTGTGAACAATGGATAAAGTGACTGGACTGCGCTTGCGCGGCTCAAGGACTATGTTTGGGAAACTTAAGCGCAAACGGCACTTGCATTCTAGGTGCTCAAACGTAGTTGGACGGCTTGATTATGTTAAAATGATCTGCTGATTGCTCGATGTTAGCAAAAGAAAGCCCGGAGGACAGCTTGTCAGATATGTAGAGATGGTGCGTTTTGACTCGGAACCCGCGCACGATGTAAGTTGAATGTGTTTCCGATGTGTCACACAAATTGTTCTGGTCATTTTTTGTCAGTTTGCTCCGCGTGAAGTGACTCAATCGCTGTGCTAATAAAGCTTTGGTGCCTGTTCTGAGAAAACTCAGACTTTGTATCATACGAGGGGCTTACATAGAATAGGCTCACGTTAAATAAAGCTCACATTTAATAGTTCAAATGTGATCTTGGAGTCCTGTTTTTGGAAGTGTTTATGAATCCATCGGTCGAGGCACTTCAACAGATTTCCTGGGATGCACAGCAATATACAACTTCTACCCACAGTGGAAGTTTTCGCGTCTTAACCTTTCTTCAAGTTCTGACGTTTATTCATTTCCCTGAAAAAAAAAGAAATATTAAATTGTTTTACACATTCTACCCATTTGGTATCCCATATAAAGCGAGAGAACGAAGTACCTCACAACAGGAATGCGCATCACTTTTTCAGCCGCAAATATTTCGACCATTTCTTCCGTCTGGTAATATAGATTTTTACGCTGAAGTCTCTCGCGATCCCATCCTGTTTAAAGGCGTCCTTGCATAATGTGCTTTCGTGCATTTTAAATTTCATAATTGCAATCTCGATGCTTTCATTCTGGAGAAAAGGCAGGCTGATTATAACGTTTACTTAAACTCCCAGAATCACTAGAAGCCTGAAAACCGGGGCCGCCCTGCTAATATATCATATTGGAGACAGTCTGCAGAGAGTGTGTGAAGCGTGCTGTACGACGATCATGTAACATTGGTCAGGCAGACACTGCCCGCACACATGTTCGAAGCATACGTATGTATAAAAGCAAACATGATTGGAACATGCCTGAGACGTGTCCGCGGATGATTCTGTCATCATGGCTGCGAAACTCTGTGTCTTTTGTATGATCTATGCGCCATATGATTATGGTCTCTGGAAGGAGTCTCCGACTGGTGTGTTTATCGCGTCCAAAAAAGTGGTCCCCCGATTTCCGCCTGATGGCGTCATAGAAGTGTCACGCTGTCGCCGGTCGCGATCCTGGCGGTGTCCCAGCAGTGATGGTGGATGTAGCAGACGCCTGTTCTGCTGCAGGTCGCTCTCTGGTGTGAGAGTCCAGGGAAGCCTCAGCAGTCAGCAGTTGGGACGCCATGGCGGCAGCGAGAATCGCGTTCACTCGTGCTTTTTGCCAGCATTTCTTCGACCAACTGCCAGGATCGCGACATCCGACAGCCTGCCACTTCGGCTTCTGTGACGTCATTTGTAGCCACTTCGGGACCACATTTGATGTATGGGCAGCGTAGGATGCTAAACACACCAGTCGGAGACCCGATCCAGGCACCATAGTGTGATTGCGGCTTTATGTGCAAAAGAAGGAAAACTGACCCGAGTTTCTTGTACAAACACACGAGAAATTGTGTGCTATAGGAAGGATTTAATAAAATATAAAAAAACTGCCTTTGTATCAGACTTTGACACGTGTGTATGTTCAAACAAAACACTTCTGACAAGCGCACCCATTTTTTTTTCCAATAATAAATGACATTTAACGACGAAGGGAGATACATATGCGGAGAGCAAGTCGTCTGCTTCTTGCGCAGGGCAACGTTATTTCATTAGGTCAGTTACGGAACTGCTGATACACGCAAGCAGTACCCCTCCCCCCCCCCTTCACTCACCATGACTCGCCTCCCGTCGTTCGAAGCGCCGGACGACTCCTACGGTAACTGTAGTGTATTCTATGGAATACGTAAG